GCCGCCTCTAAAATCCTCAAAAAATCAGTGTGATTGCAGTGAACAAATGAATAGTGACTACTGCCCAAATCCATCTGCTAGCAATACATTTGCCCCCATTTAAAGCTTCACTAGCTGACTCTGCTCCAACCGTTGTTGACCCAGTAAAACTTCCATTGTTTACAGTTGAGCTGCAACACCAATTAACAAAAAATCACACCCCTAAAACACTGAACTTAACACTTCAACAAAATACAAATACTTAGTAAAGCTATAAATGGAATTGAACCAAAAAATGTTCGAATGTATGATTTTAATCTATACTACTTAAGCAAATGATTGGATAAGCCAGATGGAGAGTAAGGAACTGTTAAAGGAAGAACGTTTCTAGCAAATAGGACCTGGAAAAAGGAGAACCTGGGAAGATTTTGGGATACCTGGAAATAGGAATTTACATCCTCCACAGGATGTTATTTGGTCGGGGTCAGAGAGGTNAACCTGGGAAGATTTTGGGATAGCTGGAAATAGGAATTTACATCCTCCACAGGATGTTATTTGGTCGGGGTCAGAGAGGTTATGAAACATCATCAGAGAAGCGGGAACAGAAGTTTGGTGCAACAAACATTACAAGCATCCAAGACAATACTTNGTTATGAAACATCATCAGAGAAGCAGGAACAGAAGTTTGGTGCAACAAACATTACAAGCATCCAAGACAATACTTAGATGGGCAAAAACTACCTCAAGAATATATACTGTGAATGGATAGGCTACAGCCAGTGCTAAGGTTGAGTCTCAGCATAGCAGAAATAGCCCCTCCACTTAATACACTCTCCCCCCCAGCATTCCACACAAAATGAGCACTTCTGTCTTTTTGTTTGCAACATAAAGCACAACCTCAGTTGCAAATGTTTAATTAAGGATCAGCATCCAAATGTAATATGTGGAAGAGGAAACTGACCCAAAACTCTGCTCTTCTTGGGGAGAGGAAGAAGTCTTAGAACATCTATTTCACGGTTGTACTTGGACAGTAGCAACCGGTCACTTTGACTAGAAACTGAAACATAGCTAATGAAGCAATCATTAGAGCACTGACAACCAGCTTCAGNAAGTCTTAGAACATCTATTTAACGGTTGTACTTGGACAGTAGCAACCGGTCACTTTGACTAGAAACTGAAACATAGCTNTCTTAGAACATCTATTTCACGGTTGTACTTGGACAGTAGCAACCGGTCACTTTGACTAGAAACTGAAACATAGCTAATGAAGCAATCATTAGAGCACTGACAACCAGCTTCAGAGTATAGATACACAACTTAATAAAACAGGCTCAGCCACAGTTTGGCTTGGCAAATACTGAAGAATGGACTCCACCCCAACCAGACTGGATTAAACATATATTGTGATGGCACTTTATGCGTAAAAAACAGAAAAAGGGCCTTCTGGCGTAATAGTCAGAAACCATTGGGGCAGGTTTCTAACTGGAGCGTTAAGCATACTGGCGGCTGTAACCCCATTAGGTACAGAGACTCAGCCTATTGTCATTTCATAACAATNGGTAAAAAACAGAAAAAGGGCCTTCTGCCGTAATAGTTAGAAACCATTGGGGCACGTTTCTAACTGGAGCGTTAAGCATAATGGCGGCTGTAACCCCATTAGGTACAGAGACTCAGCCTATTGTCATTTCATAACAATAGAAAGCTAATCAAGGGTAGTCACTCACAAGATTTAATCAGTTCCCGCAACAAAGCCCCTCATCAACATCTAAGGGAGCTGGAAACCACCCAGGAAATTACTTACAATGCAGAAAAAGTTACTTGCTGAAGTTTCAAGCAATAAAATAACTAGCAACCGGCGGCCCCTGGAATTGTAAAATTGGGGCAGCAAGGCTTCCCGTGCAATGGCATGTATGTATCCATAGAGATAAGGAAGCCCGCAATTGGATAGAACAGGAGTACAGGAGCATTGAAATAAAGCTGTTTGTACGGGGTTTTTTCTTACTTTCTGGTTGTAGCCACGTTGTAGAACTCTAGTTGCAATAATGACCAAGAAAAACAATGTAGCCAAGTGATTTGCGTGGTGTGACAAGGAAAATACTTGACTTATACTCATTATACTAGAAAGCATAAAAGTTGGAAGTGTATTTTAAAAATTGATCAGTCCATTGAATNGTACAGGAGCATTGAAATAAAGCTGTTTGTACGGGGTTTTTTCTTACTTTCTGGTTGTAGCCATGTTGTAGAACTCTAGTTGCAATAAAGACCAAGAAAAACAATGTAGCCAAGTGATTTGCGTGGTGTGACAAGGAAAATACTTGACTTATACTCATTATACTAGAAAGCATAAAAGTTGGAAGTGTATTTTAAAAATTGATCAGTCCATTGAATGTATCTCTCACAAAATTTCATACACACAGTTATGAATTTGGACATTACAAAAAAGGTTTGAATCCTCTCAATTTGAATTTCTTTAATTTATGTCTGAAGGGGTAGACATAGAAAACCAACAGTGGGGGCCCTATAAAATTTGATCAAAATTCACAAAATTTGAACTTGAAACCATCGGGATCTTAAAACAAATGGCAAATGGGTTATAANGACATAGAAAACCAACAGTGGGGGCCCTATACAATTTGATCAAAATTTACAAAATTTGAACTTGAAACCATCGGGATCTTAAAACAAATGGCAAATGGGTTATAATTCATTATCTTTCAACTGCAAATTGTGAATGCCAATTTGTACCTTCAACCCGGGGTCACTGAATATGGCACCCACTCAATTTCAATCACATGATCAAATACTACCCTTAGAACAATGCTTGATTATCTTAATTCATGAATTCAACAATATATGCTAAACTTTTCTTAATAAGAAAAATTAGGAAAGAACAAGATGGGAAAAAAGCACAATGATTTCATCCACACCCCTTGTGTAAAGTCATATCTTTACGCACACCATTTGNTCCGGGGTCACTGAATATGGGACCACTCAATTTCAATCACATGATCAAATACTACCCTTAGAACAATGCTTGATTATCTNCCCGGGGTCACTGAATATGGCACCCACTCAATTTCAATCACATGATCAAATACTACCCTTAGAACAATGCTTGATTATCTTAATTCATGAATTCAACAATATATGCTAAACTTTTCTTAATAAGAAAAATTAGGAAAGAACAAGATGGGAAAAAAGCACAATGATTTCATCCACACCCCTTGTGTAAAGTCATATCTTTACGCACACCATTTGAAATTCTAAAATTTCATCCACCCCTTCAAATTCCACTAACACCCCCCTTCAAGTTTCTTCAACCACATATTTGTTACGGACACAATAAAAAGTTGATGATGTCACTAAAAATATTATTGAAAATGCCAAAATTATCCGTAAACATGTTAGTGGATTTAAATTACATTTTATTGGAGCTTTAATAACTTTTTTATCCTTACATCCAATACAAATCATACACATTTTCGTTATGTACATAGTAAAAAGAAGATGACGTAAATAAAAAGTTTAATGAAAATGCCGAAATTATTTGTAAGCATGTTAGTGGATTTAAATTACAGTGTATTGAAGCTTTAATAACTTTTTTATCCTTACATCCAATACAAGTCAAGCACAAATATTTTATCTATAATCCAAATCAAATCAGAATGGCCACAAAATTACTTATTTTGTGAGAATAAGAATTCAAAATTCACAGTCTTAGACAGGAATTGTTATCTTAGGTAATGGATTTAGGGGTTAACATCGTATCTGATCCAAACGTTGGTTATGGATGATTTGATAGAGTTGAATTTCATTATATTAATTATGAATTTGAACTCAATTTAATCAAATACTCATCGAATTTTATCACATATTATATAAAATACTTATTTGGATCATAATCAAATTGAATTTTGGTAAATCCCAATTCGTGAAATTTAACTATATATATAAAATAAACATTTTCTTTGGCGGACGCTTTTAGAAGCTTTCCCACCTAAAATACTTANAACTATATATATAAAATAAACATTTTCTTTGGCGGACGCTTTTAGAAGCTTTCCCACCTAAAATACTTAATTCCCAGATTTTAGAATTTTTTAATTAAAAGAACATGAAGGTCATTCAATCAACACACACTATTTCAAATGGTTCTGATTTTTAAATCCATAAAAACTGTATGTAGGCTTCTTACGGTTGGTTATGCAATTTAATCCAATAAAAAAAGCTAACACTTCTCCTATAACTCCCCACTTCTTCATGTAACTTTCTACCTATCCCTATCTTTGTACCATCTCCTTATCCGTCTTCATCTCTCCACCTTATTGACTTTTAGATAAACCCTTCTCTCCCTCTCCCTCTCTCTCAAACCCAACTAAACAAATCATCTAATACACCCGGTAAATCTTCCTTGGCAATCACCGGGATCACATGGATTTCCAAACCAATTTTTCCAACCATATTAGTTTTTTGAGAAACTAAGCAGGCTCATGATTATCTATATGAATATATCTAATTGAGCAACACTTTGTGTCTCTTTTACTTATTCATTCAATTTTATTTTCAAAATTTTGTTCTTCACCTTATGATAGAAGAACATGTTTCATATGAAACTGTGTATCACATGGATCAAACGCTAGTACTATTATAACGGAATTATATCGAATTTGGATAATTGGTCAAAAAAATCAATTAATATATGATTATTTGGGTTCGGATTTAGATTACAATCTAATCCATTGGAAGTCCATATATGGACTGTTTCAAACACTTCTCACAGGGCAATATGATTTTGTAAATCATGGGTTCATTAGTCTTATATATTCAAATTTATAACCATACACAAATAAAAGAACAAATGAATAAAATCATATGCGTAAATAACAAATAGCAGATACCTTGATGGAAATTTGCAATTATTAAAACCTGAAATTAAACAAATTAAAAAGACAATTAGACCAAACCCACAAAATCAATCAAAGAAATTAATGGATTTTTTAATTGAAAAACCTACACTAATCTTAAATCTTACTAGGGTTTAGAGAAGTGAGGGCGGCTGTATTGTCAAAGTTACAGCTGTCCTCGGTCAAGCCATGCTTGAGAAAGTAATTATTGAAGGCAAACGACGCCATTCTCTGGATATCGGAGGGGTCGTAGCAGGGCCCACCTTGCTGGATGGAACCGCAGTCGGCACCTCCTGGCCCACAAGCCCAGTCTAAAGCGGACTGGAGGGCCGAGTCCTCGGCATTGTTCTTGGCCACGCACCAAAGCACCACCGACACTGCGCCGTCGTTTCTGGCGGTGGAAATGGTGTTTCTAAGGGTAGATGCGTGTGAGAAGGGTGCTGTGATGCAGATGAAAGATAGAAGGAGAGAGAAAGAGAAGTTTGTAACCATTTTCAGCGAGAGGGAGGACGGAGGGAGGAAATAGGGAGGGAAATGTAGCCGTTAGGAACGGTTTTTTAGGGTGGGTTTAATTTGAGGAGTTAGTGGGTGGCGGGGGTTATATAGACAATGTAACCGTTGGTGTGTTGAGAACTGAGAACTGGAATGGGGAATGGGTGAGTAGAAAGGGGAAGGGTTGTTGCTTTGTAGAAGTTGAGGGTAAAGTGTTCAGTGGTCTGACGGCATCACTGTCAGCTTTTTATTTGTTTATGGATTTTTAGTGTTTTCTCAGTATATGTCCACTTGAACGTTAAAGGTGCTAATTTACATCATCTCTTATAAAATTCCAGATTCTTATTTAAATTTGAATAAAAAAATAATAAAAAATTTAATTTGGTATAAATCCTTTCAGAAGAAACTTAAATTTAAAATAAGAGAAATTTAAATTTAAATAAGAATAAATACAAATTTAAAATAAGGTAAAATATGATCATTAGATCTTTAAAAGATAATAAAATATCACTATTAAAGATTTGGGTATGAATTTGAGTTACTCTTAATTTGAATNCTCATTCTAACTTCTGTTGCAATTTCCCTGAAATTTGTTATGTGTCCCTCAATAAAGTCTTTCATTTTCTCAATTTCTTAATTTTTAACTATTTTTTTCTATGGATTTTATCTGTGCACACCTGTGTTTATATTGCTGCAATGGTTGAATTTTTTTTAATGTTAAGATTGGACTTTGGTGCATAATTTTTAAATCCGGTCCAGACATCAACTCGACAAAGAGATCAAATCAATGGTTTAGTGATTCAACCATTGAATCAATTGATCAAATCGATCATATTATTAAAAATAAGAAAATATTAATATTATAAAAATATCAAGTTTAATATATATTAGACCAAACAAAAAATGAAAAATATAAAAATTATCAAACTAAGTAAAGAAAAATACATGTTTTCGTTGTGATCGGCGATGCAACAAAACAATTTTCACATGTTTTCTTTTTCTTAGAAATTAACCAGTTGAACAAACCCACAACATTGAACACTAATCAAAAACACCTAAATAGCAAAAAACCCACATTCAAAATCACTGTGCAGCATTAATCCTTCAAGCATGAAACACACGGTCCATCACAAAGAACCTCAGAAAATGGTCCAAAAAACCTCTGGTAAAACTCAAGAACAGAGAATAGGATTTGTAGTAAACAAACTACACGAGCAACCAGAATGTGCATGTGGGTGTGGTTTTAATGGTCAACTGGGCTTAATAACCAAAATAAACTTAACTAAGTCTTATGTCCCAATCATTTGGGATTGTCTATATGAGTTCGTTTCGTCATTCATTTCGATCATGCACTATACACTCATTTAAGTTAAATATTTTCATATATTTTCTTATTATTTCGTTCAATGTTAATTTAGGTCTATTCTTACTTCTAGCACCATTAAGAGAAATTCTCTCATTCTTTCGAATTGTTGCCTCTATCGGCCTCCGCTGAATATGACCAAACCATCTTAATCTATTTTCTCTTTAACTCATCCTCCACTTAAACTAACTGGCGTTGATTCTACAAGTTATATCATCTCCAATCTCTATCATTTTTAATGATCGATCCTAGATATCTAAATTATTTACTCGTTGGTATTTCTTGATTTTCAATCTTAACTTTTTCATTATGTCTAGTTCTTCTATTACTAAAATTGCATTGTATATATTTAGTTTTACTCCTATTTATTTTAAATCTTTTCGATTCGAGTGTCTTTCTCCAAATTTTTAACTTATTATTAATCTCCCTTCGAGTTTCATCTACCTAATACAATACATCTACAAATAGCATATACCGTGAGACATCATCTTGAATGTGTTTAGTGAGTTTGTCCATAATTAGGGCAAATAAGTATGGATTTAGGATCAATCTCTAATGTAATCCTACCGTGATGGAAATTTTTTTATTTTCTCCCACGGAAAACCTAATTATAGTCATAGCCCCGTCATATATATCATTTATCACCTCAATATATCTATTCATCACTCATTTTTGTCTCAAGCACCCTACATATTATATTTCTAGGTATTTTACCATATGCATTTTCTAGATTTATAAATACCATATGGAGATTTTTCTTCTTTTCTCTGTATTTTTCTATGAGTGTCCTCAATAAATATATAACCTCTATAATTGATCTACCCGACATAAACTCTAACTGATTTTCAGACACTGTAGTCTCAACTCTTAGGTGACGTTCAATGACCATTTTCCATAATTTCATTGTATCACTCATCAATTTTATCCCTCTATAATTATTACAATTTTTAATGTCTCCTTTATTTTTATAGATAGGTATTAAAATACTTTTTCTCCATTCATCAGACATTTTTCTAGTACCAATAATTCTATTGAATAATTTCGTTAGCCAACATAGCCCCTTATTCACTAAGCACTTCCAAACCTCAATTGAAATCTTATCCAATCCTAAAGCCTTGCCTAATTTTATTTTCTTCAATGCAAACTCTATCTCTGAATTCTTTATTCTGCGAAAGAACGTTTTATCAATCCTACTATTTTCTATCTCTTCTAAGTTTCCTAAGTGATTTTCATTTAATAGTTTATCAAAATTGTCTTTCTACCGATCATTGATTTCCCCATATTTAACTAAAAAATTTAAATCCTTGTCCTTAATACACTTAATTTGGTTAAAGTCTCTTGTTTTTCTTTCTCTAATTTTATCTAGGTTGTAAATGTCTTTTTCTTCCTCTTTATTATCTAATTTTTTGTACAATTCGTCGTAGGCTTTTAACTTAGCGGCTCTAACAATCTTTTTAATCTACTTGTTAGCTAATTTATATCTTTGGAAGTTCTCTCTATTTCTATCATTTTACTGTCTCTTAAAAGATTCTTTCTTTACTTTAACTACTTCTTGTACGTCGTCATTCCACCACCAAGTTTTTTTTTCCCACAAGCCCTCTATCCTTTGACTATACAAGAACCTCTTTCGAAAATTTTCTAATGTCTTCCATCATCCTACTCCATATAACGTTAGTCTCATCCTCTAGGTTCCACAAGGCATCCTTAAGCATTCTAATCCTAAATAGCATTAATTTCTCATCTTTTAGATTCCACCACCTCGTTCTTGTTTTTCTAATGCTTCTTTTTATGCTATGTTGCCATTTAATATATAAAAATAGAATTGTTAACCTATGTTGAGATGTTAAGCTCTCTCCTAGGATATCTTTACAATCTTTACATGTTAATTGGTCTGTGCTTCTACTTAAGAAGTAGTCTAGTTGACTTTTGTTTGATCCGCTTTTAAAGGTTATTAGATGTTCTTCTCGTTTTCTGAATAAGGTATTTGCCACTATAAGGTCATATGTCATTGCAAACTCTAAAATACTCTCTTTGGCTTCATTTCGATCACCGTATCCATGACCCCCATGTACCCTCTCATATTGTGTCCTATCTTTTCCTACATGTCCATTGAAATCTCCATTTATGATTATCTTTTCCCCTATAAGCATATATTGAACTAATTCCTCCATTTGCTACCAAAATTGCTTTTTAATTTGTTCTTCTAACCCTACTTGGGGTGCATAAGCACTAATCACATTAATTATATTCTCTCCGACTACAAGTTTGATAGATATAATCTAATCTCATTTCCTTGTAACTACTACTACACTATCTTTTAGGCTTTTATCCATAACTATTTCTACTCCATTTCTTTGTCTATCTTTTCATGTATAGTAAATCTTAAATCTTGTATTTTCTATCTCCCTTACCTTCTCACCTACCCACTTAATTTCTTGCAAGCATGCAATACTAATTTTTCTCTTGCTTATAGTGTCTACTAATTTCATTGTTTAGTCGGTGAGTGTACCTATGTTCCATGTTACTATCTAAGTCTATCATCATGGACTAGGTTCCTTACCCCCACGTCCACGCATGGCGCAGAGACCAATGCGGTGCCCCTAACTTATTTGTCGAAACGTCCCGAGATAGGTGCAATACGTCAGTTATGGGGAATAACCTAGCATTAGCAATATACCATTGTTTGGACTCATCATAGTAGATTTNTACCTTCTCACCTACCCACTTAATTTCTTGCAAGCATGCAATACTAATTTTTCTCTTGCTTATAGTGTCTACTAATTTCATTGTTTAGTCGGTGAGTGTACCTATGTTCCATGTTACTATCTAAGTCTATCATCATGGACTAGGTTCCTTACCCCCCCACGTCCAAGCATGGCGCAGAGACCAATGCGGTGCCCCTAACTTATTTGTTGAAACGTCCTGAGATAGGTGCAATATGTCAGTTATGGGGAATAACCTAGCATTAGCACATATACCATTGTTTGGACTCATCATAGTAGATCTGACAAAGTTTTACGCTGACTGTCGGCTACCTAACACAACCCTCCTCATTTATCCTGACTTGGGACAAACAGTGCTGAATATAACATTGGCGGAGTTTCAACTGGGCTTAATATATTCTCTAAATTCCAGTTTGAATGGTTGCTGCTACACAGAAGCTTGGACCTGATGATACGCGAGTGGTGAAAGAGATAAAGAAGAGAAAGGGAGAGGGAGTGACATGAATGAGAAGTTGAGCCCAAGAGTTGATTTGGGCAGAAGTTCCCAACTCCCAAGAACTTATGATTTTAGAAAACTCAGACGAAAGGTACAAAGTTATTCACTTTTAAAGGCGAGAAGTCCACTTTATACACTTTTAAGACAAAATGTTTATAAAATACACGGTTGATAAAAATACCCTTAATAAATGAGGTTATTTAAAAATTCTACCATATCCCACCACCCCCTATCCTCCACCCCACCCTTACCCTCACCCTCACCCTCACCCTCTGACAATGAACTACGCGACAGTGAATTCAATGACAGTAACCTAAAAAATTCAATTTATTTTATTATATATTGTAAATGGAAGAAGAGCTAATTTTTTAGTTCACTGTCTTTCAATTTGATTTTCAATCAATAAAGAGGTGGGAGAGAGACTACAACGATCTAAACCAATATAACTCTTTCTTCAACAAAGAAAAACCACATTTTTTTTTCAATAAATAAAAAACAATCATTCCAATTAGGGGTGTTCACCTTACCCTACGGGTAGAAAATATGCTCTTCTGCCTTCCTACCCGATACTTTGTGGAAGAATTTTTTTTGGCCTATCCTATCCGATCAGATGTGGTATTCCTACCCGACTTTCTA